CAACTAATGCCTGTAAAGAGCAGCTGACATCTGGGCTATCAAAACTCGAGCAGAACTTCGCCATCAAACCCATCGTGGACATTGAACCAGAGACCCCATCGGACTGGTGGGGAAAATCAATCACGATTCTGAGCCTGGATTTCTTCCAACGGGTTCTGTCTGCAGTAAAGTCGAAGGGCCTTAAGCAGGACATAATCAGCAGGATCCTGATAAACTACACACATAACTCTCTTCAGGGTGTCGTATTCAAAGACCCTCAATCGATTAAAGGAAGCTCGTTGGATGCAGAGTTGCAGAAGAAACAAAGAGTAATTGTAGAAGCAATCGTAAGTTTGCTACCAACTCTGTCAAGAAAGAGTTCAGTACCGATAGCCTTCCTTTCCAGTCTGTTGAAAACTGCAATAATGGGGTCGGCTTCTGCAGCTTGCAGAGCTGATTTAGAGAGGCGGATTGGTCTGCAGCTGGATCAAGCTATCCTTGAAGACATCCTTATACCCGCAAACTCACACGGCAACAACTACCATCCACTGTATGATACAGATACGATACTGAGAATCTTCTCCATCTTCCTGAACTTGGATGAGGAYGACGAGGAGAACAACTTGAGGGATGAAAGTGAGATGGTTTATGACTTCGACAGTCCTGGATCTCMTAAACAGAGCTCAATCCTTAAGGTGTCAAAGCTCTTGGACAACTATCTAGCAGAAATCGCACTGGATCCAAACTTGATGCCATCGAAGTTCATCGTTCTAGCAGAGCTACTCCCAGATCATGCCCGGATCGTGAATGATGGGTTATACAGATCNGACTTTGTCTGAGACGTTTTCGAGTTTCAGACAGCATTTGTGCTTCTCACAGGTTCATCCCAACATCAAGGAATCTGAACGCTACCGACTGTGTAAAACCATCGATTGTCAAAAGCTATCTCAGGAAGCCTGCAGTCATGCAGCTCAGAATGAAAGACTGCCGGTGCAAATGGCCGTCCAGGTGCTGTACTTCGAGCAGATCAGGCTTCGAAATGCAATGAATGGAGGCCACACTCATTTCTTCTTCGGTTCAATTAACGGCCAATTCCCCCAACGCTCAAGCAGTGGCGCCGGCAGCGGGACGATCTCCCCAAGAGATAACTACGCCTCTGTGAGAAGAGAGAACAGGGAGCTGAGGCTCGAAGTAGCTCGAATGAGAATGAGGCTGACCGACCTGGAGAAAGATCATGTCTCCATGAAACAGGAGCTCGTTCGATCAAACCCAGCAAATAAGATACTTAGATCATTCACCAAAAATCTAAGCAAGCTCAACTCCCTTTTCCGGATAAAAGACGTTAAGCCCATTGGTTCCAAGGCTAATTCAGAAGCACGGTTTCTGTTTCAGAAGCGAAGGCGCTACTCTGTTTCCTGATTTTTATACATAACTGCATGCATAAGAATTAATGTATAGCATAAATGTTGTGATTGTGTCTAAAAATCTCAATTTTATAGTTCTACTAAAACTCAATCCTGTGTTCAATGAGATGACATTCTTGATTCTCGACTTTCTTACATAAGAATTACACATTCTTGATTCTCGACTTTCTTACATAAGAATTACACATTCTTTTATCGTATTTTAAGAAGGGGAAAGTTGGCCAATGGGATTTTGGTTCCCATTGACCAAGAATCTCATATTCTTTTTTCAGATTTATGTGGAGATAAGGAAAAGTTTATTTTCCTGGGTATCAATAGGTGGCTAAATAACTTTCCCATCTAGGGGGAAGTTTACTATACTCGTATGAGACAAAAATGCCCCTTTTAATAATGAAATTTTATAGCTAAAATGGTCATTGTCTTATTTATATGAGAAATAAAAGAACATGGGTAAATGCACTTACCCTAACTTAGTGAATAACAAACATGGCTTAAATCTAATAGCAGTAATCAGTTAGCTTGGTTGGACTCATTCTCATTCCAGCTAGCTCTACTGTCTGATAAGGTCCTAAATTTAAAATTGGATTTGGTGCTCACAAAATTATGCTTGCAGTATTCTCACAGCTCTTTCCAGTCATGCATTGGGAACATTTCCCCATAAATAAAAAGATAAATATAGAGATATTCCCAATGCGTGGCTGAAAATGGTTGTGAGAACAATGTGAGCACTGATTCTCCAAATGTAAGACAGAAAATGGGTGTATGAATAGTGTGAGCATTGAATCCGCCATCCCTAAATTTATAACCATTAGTCCCCATTGGCTTGTGGATGAAGGTTATAAAAAGTAGGTATGGCCACCGTGCAAGCAAATAGTTGGGATTGCAACCTTTGGACTTAAGGATTTTTCCCCTATTCTCATTGGAATGGGGTTCAAACACCAGGGGACCACTATATGATCAACCCTCTAGCCTAGCTATCTCTCTAATAGCCTTTTAAATTCCAGCATTCAACTACCAAGTTCTCTACATTACCTTATCTCTTCTTTATAGAAGGATGTTTGGAACAATTTGCATATTGGTCACCTTATGGGCAAAGAAGACTTGTAATGCTTTACGAAAGGCTTAGGGGTGGCAAAGATGACTGGTGGAATTGCAGAGATGGCCGGAATGAGCCACAAGATCTGTGAAAGAACAGAGGCTCTGAATGCTGCAGGAAACCCAACTATGCTGCTATTGGAAAGGTAGGGCCAATTCAATCCCAGAAAGTATTTAGTTTGAGAGCATATGCTGTATCACTCTAGCACAACCCAACTATGCTGATGATGTCCTACCTATTGCAGTTTGTGCATCTGTTTATCACAATCACATAATGGTTGGGTCACACCCCATGGGTGATTTCTTACCCAAAGTTATTCGAATTGGATATTTAACTCCCCATTGTTTTGGGTAGCAATCAATATCTAGAAGGCAGGAATCTTACTTGAAACTTCAGGTCCTTCTAATCCAAGTGAACATTTACCTTCTGTTGTGTACCTTGGGCATGATGGTTCCTGTTGATTTTCAATGAAAAAGCTACTAGTACTAGGTCAGTGTTTTTGATACAGGAGAAAAAAAAAAAAAACAACACAAAATTTAGGAGGTTTACAGACTAGTTAGCAAGGAAAACAAACAAGCAAATAGACCAACAAAGGGAAGCCTGATTAATGGTTAAGTAAATCAACTCCATACATTATAACCTAACTAATGATTAAGTTCGAAGGCTTACTACTATGTAAAGCATCCATATCACGTTTGAGTATTTTATACCTAGACAACATAAGAGACAAATCAAAGAACACCAACTTTCAGCCAACCATGTTTATTTAGGTGGGAACCAGCACCATTGTTAATCTTTTAATCCGTGGATTCCTCTGTTTTGGATCAATGCAAGCTATTCTTGACATGATGTTTCTTTAATGTGCAAGGGTTTTGCAATTGGATCGGCTGCTCTCGTCTCTCTTGCATTATTTGGTGCCTTTGTAAGTAGGGCTGGCATCACGGCTGTTGATGTGTTGAGCCCAAAAGTTTTCAGTAATTGATGGGTGTTGTCTCATTCATTTTGTGATTAACTGTTTAATTCAAACTGACATGCAATCTTGGACTAATTGAAAAGCTGATCTAACTTTATAGGGATATTCAAAGTTGATCAGTTCAGCTGAGAGATTGATTCAGGCATGTTTTCTTGGACATTCTACAAGAAGAAACCATACTCAGCTTCCACCAGTTGATGATAGAGATTCCAATTCTAGTATTGGAGCCATTATACAGTTGGGAAGCCAAAACAGTAGATGGTGCTGCAGAAATAGATTCTATTGGTTCTAGAAGAGAAGCTGATGCTCCAAGGGCATCAGATGGGGATATTGGAATGTTCCATGCAACTAGACGGCAAAGGTTGAATTGATACGAATCTGTATCTAGTTATTGCCTTCTAGGACTTTAGAATCTAGGTTTCCTGTAAAATTCGGTACAATTAATGTATATTGTTGATACATGGGTAAGTGTTAGTTTTTGTTTTGAGTTTTGGCTTCAAGCTGTTTTCTCTTTTTCATTTCCCCTCCTCAGTTTGCAATTATTATTGAGTTAATGCAAACAGTGTATTAAAATGTTTGCTGTATACACAGGGGTTGGTTTGCTATGGATGACTCTGTCGTTCACGTTCTCCTTAAAAGAGGTTACCTATGTTATTTGTATGTCAAGTCAATTTGTATATAACCAAGCAAGTCAGGTTATTGGTAAGTTCTATAAATTCATAGTTCCATATACATATGTTTTTCAGGATACACATAATTTTGGTGTTCTGAGGCACTTAATTGTTTCAAGTGACAGGCTTAGCTGCTGCAAGTGTTAAGCGGGTGTATTTGTTTGGTGAAAGTTTAATCGACCTCACAGATGCACCAACTCCTATTCCAACAGAAACAAATACTGTTAATAGCAGTAACACAGAAGATGTTGATCTGTTTGCAGATGCAACTTCATGTAGAAGCAGGGGTGGTTCCTCAAAAACATGGATGATGAAATTTGTATTAGAGATTAATGTATCAATTTGAAACTAAGATGTATATTAAAAAGAAATTATGGATTATATGAACAAAAAATTGACTTAACGGCAATCCCGAGCGCGCCAAACTTATAGCGGCAGCCGTATCAGTATTAGTGGCAGCTTATTCTTAAAGCCTAATGGTGGATTCTATTAAGTAAACCACACATGAGAAGACCAACACCCGTGCAAAGAACAGGTGGTGATGGGTCATTGAGTATACAGAGAAAGTCATTAGCTATAGGTCTACATCAGATCCGAGTTCACAGTCATCATGCATCGGAGGACCTATTCCACAAGTTCACTCTCTTCCTCCAGATCCGCATCTCATCGGAAGGAAATTGCTTTTCATTGCACATGTAAAACAGAACCAACAACCAAGAATAGAACGAGGATGAATGCATGGAATTTGCTATCGACTCTCTCTCTCTCTCTCTCTCTCTCTCTCTCTCATTATAAAAAGGACCATGTCCCTCTTCCTCCCACTCACTCAGTGAATTCTAAACAACTAAACCGACAACATGGCCCAAAGTATGAAAAGCACCACTGGTCGTATTCCGATGAAATATATGATGGTCATGATGATGATTGTCCTTCCCACTTGGGGAGACGCTCTTGATGCTGCTTTGGCTGATGCTGAGAAAAACAAAAAAGTGATCAAGGTTAATGCAGATGGTAGCGGCGATTTCAAGACAATGACAGATGCCATCAACAGTATTCCTGCGGGAAATAAAGATCGCATTGTCCTTTCGATAGGACCTGGGGAGTATGTAGAGAAGATCAAGGTGGATGGAAACAAGCCATTCGTCACCTTCTACGGAGCACCCGGCAGCATGCCCACCTTGTCCTTTCATGGTACGTCCGGCGAGTACGGGACTGTCGATAGTGCTTCTGTAATTGTGTTGTCCGACTACTTTGTGGCTGCCAATATAATCTTCAAGGTTCGATATCTTCTAGTCTTAACTCTTCTATATATTATTGTTATTTAACTTGTTGACGAACAACAAGTGTAGTCTATGCTACGTGAAATTAAGTATTCCTTTTAATTTTTCCAGAACACGGCTCCACCACCCAGTGGCCAAGGTAGCGGACAAGGAGGTCAGGCGGTGGCAATGAGAATCTCCGGTGACATGGCGGCATTTTACAATTGCAAATTCATTGGCTTTCAAGACACATTGTTGGATGACAAGGGCAGGCATTACTTCAAGGATTGTTATATTGAAGGCACCGTCGATTTCATCTTTGGCTCCGGAAAATCTCTCTACATGGTATTGTGTGCGTTAGTGTTTAATTGTGTAAGGTTACAATGATTAATTCTCATCACAGTATGGTTAAAGAAAGGCTTTATATTCATCAATGGGTTTCTATTGCATGCTTGCAGAACACCGAGCTACATTCGGTGGCAAAGGATCTTGCAGTGATCACAGCACAAGCGAGAAAATCTGATAGTGAAGATGACGGATACTCTTTCGTTCATTGCACCGTTACAGGAACCGGAGACATATATCTAGGCCGGCCATGGTTTCCCTTCGGAAAGGTTATCTTTGCCAACACCGAATTGTGTGACAAGGTCAATCCTGTAGGCTGGCACGTAGGAGTTGGAGTTGCCACTGAGTATGCAACTAATCATTTAATCGAATCTAACTTCTTGATTCATGACTTCTAAGATATTTCTTAGTGTAACAATAATCTTAATTGTTATCCCATGTTCTAAAATTTTGTTATAATCTTTCTGCAGCAACGTATTCTTCGTAGAGTATCAGAACACCGGACCGGGATCAAATACAGATAAGCGCCCAACATGGGTGAAGACGAAGCTATCTGACGCAGAAGTTCAACCATTCTTGAGCACGAAGTACATTGATGGCGATAATTGGCTTCAACCTCCTCCAACTGTATAAACCAGTCCACTGTCATACCAATACCATTCTACAATTTTGACCTGAACTTTATTTTTTTCTTTTGTTCTTCTACCTCCGTTGATCAAGGAGATGTTTTCTTACCTGTGCAAGTGTAAATTCCCTTGGTTTCATTTCTTTTGATGATGAATAATCTTCTTTTTAGTAGTTTTGGAGTTTTATTACCAGACATATAACCACAGTTATTTGAAGACTCATCTCTACTATTTGTTTTGAATATAGAAGAGTTTCACATTTTTACATTACAAAAAAAGGACCCATGCTTCCAAATCTTCACTGGTAGTCGTTAGTAGGAAAATACGTAAAGAGGTATTTTATTATAAATGAAACATTACTCACTCATTTATATACGCTGAATGATGGAAATTAATGTTTTTTTTTATCAGATAAAGAGTGTCAATGTTAGTAAAAGAGTATTTGATCACCCAAAGACGCACACATACCACGATTGTATGGAAACCATCCTTTTTCATGGGTTTCAACTCTAGTATATATCTTCCTGGTGGGGAGGTTTGATACCCAATGGTCTAGTTCGGAAACAAGTCATGTTCAAAGAATCTTCAAACAAAATTACCAAAGCCAAAATAAATAAGAAAAACAATACTTAAGAGAAAATCAACCAAAACTCCCTTAGATTTGTCATATCTGTTCTTTATATAGATTTTCTTTATTCCAAAATATCCAAAGTCCTCTTAAAAATCCTACAGAATCTATAAGTAGAAACTCATCAGAAGAAAATGATTTAGCAATCATTTTTGATCGCTCAAGATTTCTTCTAGTTTCCATTGAAAAACAGATTCCGGGTTTATGCACTCACTTCAATTCTTTAACTTGTCTTTATAGGGTTGGTCTCCCTACGTCTCTCCTGTTCCAGCTAATTAGTTTCTATTAGTGAAATAACATGAATCTCAGAAGGACTCTATCACTCAGTTATCCTCTTATTAGTAGTTCGTTTCCTAATCGTGTTATCTAGTTAGGAATTTGTTCTTTACCAGAACTCTATCACTTTATGTAATCTGTCATGGTACCAGAACCACCACAATGGCTTCTTTCTCTTCTTCTACCTCTCCTCCCATTTCATCCTTCTCTAACCTAGAAACCACGTCCTTGGTCTTCCTGGATCAAGATTGACCAGTTCATCCTCAGTTGGATAATCTCCCCGCCTCTAAGAGCATGACCAAACAAATTATTGGACTCAAGACATAGCATGTTGTATGGAAAGCTCCTGAGCAAGCTTTCTCTTCTCCATCGCCAGCCTGGGTTCTCCAGCTTCGTTTTCAACTCATGAAACTCAAAAAGGGCTCTGCCTTTGTTATAGAATATGTTCGACATGTCAAAAACATTGCTGACCAACTGCTAGCTGCATCAGAACCGGTCCCAACGCGTGATCTGCTTCTTAGTATTCTCGACGGATTGGGATCCGATTTTGATTCCCTCATCACTTCAATCACCACCAGACCCGATTTCTCCTCCCTAACTATTGAAGACCTTCACGGATTCCTACGTAACCACGAGGTTTGGCTTCAACAGTGCCATCTCCCCAGTCTTGAACCTCTTGCTCCCACGACCAATATTACAACTTAGTCACAACCTTAGCAACAGCAACAGCCCCAATTCAACTCCAACAGAGGCCATGGTCGGGGATCTAGGGGGGTGCGGCTGTTACAACTTTATTAACTCTACCCAAAACTTTCAACCATTCCCGCAGTTCAATCTGGAAAGGCCGCAGAATTTTTAGTACGAACGGGTTGATAACTTGCCCGCTTGGCTTCAACAATGCAATAAGGCCAATCACACAGCCATGCAATGTCACCGGCATCATGAGATTGTTCTCTCTAGTGGTTTCAACAGCAACAACAGAACATCCATTTCTGGCTCTCAGGCTGCATTACCCCAACATCAGTCCTATGATTTCGCTTGGTATCCCGACTTAGGAGCCACCACCCATATCACATTGGATTTTAACAATTTTCAGACTCGCTCAGACCGTACTGGCTCAGACCAAATTCACATCGCAAACGAAACAGGTTTGGGTATTGCTCACATCGGTTCTTCCCATTTCACATACAAAGATCGTAGTTTTCTTTTAAATCCTTAGTTTTATGTGCCCTTCATTACTAAAAATCTGCTCTCAGTCAGTTAGTTTACTCGTGACCACAATTGCTTCTTTGAGTTTCACCCTTCTTACTTTCTTTCTTGTGAAGGATCAATCTTCAGAGAGTATCCTCTTACAGGACACCCTTAAAGATGGTCTCTATCATTTGTCTTTCTCCTTCATCTTTTGTTGGTACGACCTCCTTAGATGTTTAGTCTCTGAGAGCCACTGACTAGTATGTATGTATGTATGTATGTTTGTATCCTCCTTAGAAATCTTCTCCTTCATCCTCCCCTTCGGGGAGTATCCTCCTATATACATATGTATGTATATATATATATATATATATATATATATATATATATATATATATATATAATATCCGTTACTTAGTTATGACATCA